CAATGCATTAACCTGTATATTCGGATGATATTCTATACTGTGAACTAACCTCCCAAGATTTATCTGGCATTCGAGATCATACATGAGGTCAGATGGAAGAGCGACCATTTCACGTGTATCCTGCAAAGGCAAAAATCGTGAGTAAACTTAATTCATGGTCATCCATGTAGATATAGTTTGCGCTCATAAAACTTTAATCACAACCCACAAGCATCATAGTCAACCGAAAAGATCTCAACTAATTCGTACCTCAACATTAGAATATAGAAGCTCGTGAACATAGTTAACATTATGAAATTGTGCGAGAGCTCTAATCCAGCCACACTACCCGTCAGCAGATCATGAAATAACGCAACTCGCCATATTAGCCTGTTACCAGTACTAAATATCCCCACAGCCCTTTACCAATCAATCTCCCTTCCATCGTCTTCAGTATCGATTGTAGAAGGATTTAAGTCGCGAACCAGATTCGTCAAGATATATGTTACATATAACAAACTGTATAGCAAGTGCTATTATGTGATGGTTTTATATTCAACAATGTCGGTGCGGGTGGGGTTTCGTGCTATGTGTTTGTGTGGTGGACACGAGAGAAGCAGAAAGCCAGTCTGTTAGACTAAGCATAGTTGGTGTGGTTGGATTGGGGGTTGCGGAAAGAAAGTAGTTGTCAGAAGCGTGTCAGAATGAGAAGCTGAGGAAATAATAGTGAAAGTTTTGGTGACGCATACCAAAGCGGGCCTCCAGCGAAAGCCAGCCGTCTCTCCTAAATTAACCGAGTTCCATGATCTGTCGTTGTTTATATTGTTTCTGGAATTTGCGTTGTTGTCGGAATATCGAGGAAGAAAAGCAGGCATTTCGTAACAATTAAATGGATTGATTAAAAAACAATGCAGGAAATACATACTATCAAAGATGCAGATTTTCTTTTCCCACGGAGGAATTTCATAAGTCTGCTAAAAGTTCTATCAAACTTTTTATCTCACGCCAAAATGTCAAAGTATTGGGGGGGACAATCATTGAGATGACGGAGCACAGCTGAAGGCATAGTATATCGTTCAATCGATAATATATATATCAAATACGGTTTGTTCTTCGCGTGCTGTTTTCTTATTATCACAGTTTGGTAAGCTGAAATTCCCCGACCTAAAAGTTTCAATAACGATTGACGCTTTGTTAGGTTATACATTTGAGATCATAGAAGACGTCCGAATATTCGTACTAACCGATACCCAAAGTATACGCGTTCACCAGCACAAGTTGATTTCTCATACCCAATTCACCCGTCAATCCGCAGCACCGCAGCTCAAAAGGTCGTTCAAAAAATTGTAGGGTTATTATTATATTGTATTATTATTATATATACCCAAGTGTATAAACACGTGATATAAATCTCGACATACAGTAGATTTCCCGAACGGAAAAACACCTAGTCCACGATGGAATACGAGTTTAGTTTAGACTTTAGCTTATTGGAAGGGATGCTATAAGTAAGGCAATTTGTACGTG